TTAAAGGCAGGATCCTATAATATATACAACTCTGTGATTCCTACAGACTAACAATAGAGCAAACTCTCAAAAGAGAAAGGAAAACGGTAAGGCAGAGCAGAACCACCCAGCCCGTTGTCTACAACAGTTTTGAACAAAATATGATAGAAAAAACATTTGGTAGTTCAGCACCGTGCTTCACATGGTCCAAAGACTGGTTGTCATATGATCAGTACAATATCCCCAGGCCTAGTGTAACCAAATTACTACTTTTAATAAAAACTAGGTATTTCTTCATTAATATTTCATAAAAAGATAACTCAATACATCCAATAATTCTGGAGAGATTTTTGTGGGAGATAAGATTGGTGAAAAGAACTTACATCTTCACAAACTATGAAATTTACAGCCCTATCCTCAAAAGGTATACAATTAGTTTGCTACCTACTATCAATGGAAACATCTGACATTCTTCATCCAGAGTGAGTATCATATTTGGATAATTTTACTTTTTTCCCCTAAATCGACAGTATATTCTCTATAATCAAAACAACAAGGTCAAAAAGAAATCTATATGTCTTAGAAAGAATGCGCTCTAACATCTTTTTTGTAATCCATTAATAACTTCTTAGTGAGTTTTTAATCCGTATGATCAAAAAAATAGCAAAGTCAGAAAATCTAGCAGACTCAGATCCATTTTTCAAACTATCCAGAACTACAGGAAAACTTCCAGTTTTACGACATACTATAATAGTTTTCTTCTTCTAGATGGCCAGTTATTTTTCTTAATGTTCTATTTAGTACTCAGCATATCATTATATATATAGTAGACATAATTAACTTACACATATATTCTTTCATGCTAAAATCTCAAAGGAAACAACTATTACAAATTATAAACATTAACTATATTATAAAGGTAAAACATACACTGCTGGGGAAAGGGAGAAGAAAATAAATAAAACATACCAATCAGTCAAGACTGAAAAATAAGCTAATATTGTAACTTACCACTAATTAAAATGGTAAAAAACTATCTTAGAAAAAGATGTTGCTGCTTACATGGTCTCTGGAGGGAAATGAAACACAAGTTGCTTCTGAGGAGAGGAACGGGTTGGTTACATGATGGTAAGAAGAAGTGTTTTAAATGTATATTTTTTGCAACTTTTGAATTTTATACCATGTGAATGAAGGTTCCACTTAATCACAAAAACAAAAACTGTAGTGGGGCACCTGGGTGGCTCAGTCCTTAAGTGTCTGCCTTCGGCTCAGGTCATGATCCCAGGGTCCTGGGATCCAGCCCTGAGTCTGGCTCCCTGCTCAGTGGGAAGCCGGCTTCTCCCTCTCCCACTCCCCGTGCTTGTATTTGCCCTCTCATTGTCTGTCACATAAATAAATAAAATCTTAAAAAAAAAAAAAAAAAAAAAAGCAGGGGCACCTGGGTGGCTCAGTGGGTTAAGCCTCTGCCTTCGGCTCAGGTCATGATCTCGGGGTCCTGGGATTGAGCCCCGCATTGGGCTCTCTGCTCAGCGGGGAGCCTGCTTCCTCATCTCTCTGCCTGCCTCTCTGCCTACTTGTGATCTCTGTCTGTCAAATAAATAAAAATCTTTAAAATAAAACAAAACTGTGGGGAAATGAACATAATGCTATTTGACTTTGACAATGAATATAAACTTATAGCCAATTTAAGATGTGGGCATCTGCCTTTATAAAATCTAAAATGATTTGTCATCAAGGAAAAAAAAACTAGTATCATTATATATATATATATATATATATATATATATATATTTTTTTTTTTTTTTTAAGATATTTTTTATTTATTTGACAGAGAGAGAGAGAGATCACAAGTAGGCAGAGAGGCAGGCAGAGAGAGAGGGAAGCAGGCTCCCTGCTGAGCAGGGAGCCCGATGTGGGGCTTGATCCCAGGACCCTGGGATCATGACCTGAGCCGAAGGCAGAGGCTTTAACCCACTGAGCCACCCAGGTGCCCCGTATCATTATTTATATTAACAAAACTTTTCCATTTGTTTTTGTTACATAATAAATTGGTTTTTGCATTTCATGAATGTGGCCTTTTAATACTTATTTTCTACTTACAAGTTTTTAGTAAGATTAGCAACCCTATGAGGAAAGTTGCAACAGATACCCGTCACACTGGGGATTTCTCCTGGGTAGTTCAGTATGCAAAACATATCACTGAGAAAAGTAGTTCTTTTTAGGATTAATTCTGACTCCTGATCCAGGATTTTCTAAAGTCTACCTTTTAAAAGAACTTGTGATATATACCAGCATTTTTAGAGGCAATGTCAATAGCCTAAATGCCTCTAAACTAAGTTATGATTAAACACATTCTGCAGAGAGAAACAAGAGCTCAATAATCAGGATTTACTGGGTTCACTTCAGCAGCACATATACTAAAATTGGAAGGCCACAAATTAGCATGGCCCCTGTGCAAAGATTTAGTTACATACTCTGTAAAATGTAACCCTTAAAATGAAGCACAAATAATAACATAGTTTAAATGAGTGACATTTAAGAGCCTAAACATTTGTTCTCAGGGCACCTGGGTGGCTCAGTTGGTTAAGCGTGTTCAGCATCTAACTTCAGCTCAGGTCATGATCTTGGGGACTCCAGTGGGGAGTCTGCTTGTCTCTCTGCCCCTTCCCACGCCCAACCCCCACTCCTGCTCTCTTTCAAATAAATAAAACTGTTTATAAACAAACAAACATTTGTTCTCTAGTTCAATTACAAATCTAGCTCAAACTTTAAGGAGTAAATGATCAATATTGACCTTTCTTAAAACACAATTTTTTTTCCTCTTTTTTTTTTTTTTTTTTAAGATTTTATTCATTGATTTTTCAGAGATCAGAAGTAGACAGAGAGGCAGGCGGTGGGGGCCTGGAGGGGAGGAGCATAATCTCTGCTGAGCAGAGAGCCCGATTCGGGGCTCGATCCCAGGTCCCTGAAATCATGACTGAGCCGAAGGCAGAGGCTTTAACCCTCTGAGCCACCCAGGCGCCCCAAAAAACTTACAATTTTCATACCCTATAAAGTTCACCTTTCACCCATTTGAAGCATACAATTCAATACTAAACTTTGCATCTTTTTCTTTTATAATTACTCATAGGATATAATTCATGGATTCATATTTTTATTAAAAAAAAAAAAAACTCTAATAAAGAGGCAAACTCATAGTAACAGAGAACAGAACGCTGGTTACCAGAGGGTAGGGATGGGGGCAATGGGGAGATACTGATCGAAGGATACAAACCTACAGACCGGAGATGAGTAAGTTCTGGAGACCTGATGTACAGCATAGTGACTACAGTTAATAGTAAGTATTGTGTTCTTAAAATCTGCTAAGAAATAGATCTCCAGTGTGTTTTTTTAAGATCTTATTTATTTATTTTTTGGTCAGAGAGAGAGAAAGCACAAGCATGGGGAGCAACAGGCACAAGAAGAAGCAGGCTCCCCGCTGAGCAAGGAGCCCAATGCAGGACTTGATCCCAGGACCCCGGGATCATGACCTGAGCCAAAGGCAGACACTTAACTGCCACCCACATGTCCCAGATATCCAGTGTTTTCACCACGCACACACAAAAAAAGGGTAACTATGAGAGACGACAGATACATTAATTAGTATGGACTGTAGTAATCATTTTGCAATGTATACATACATCATAACATCACACTGTACATCTTAAATATATACAATTTTATTTCCCACTGATAGAATCCTCTACAGAGAACACTGGCAAATGGCCCACAAACAGATAAAATCAGAATGATTTCTCCAACAACTCAGAATTAACTTGTGTGTCTGGAAGAGCAAGGATTCTGCTTTATCATAAAGTTGTAGGTTTCAAGATAATACTACTTTAATAATTTGCCTACATTACTTTAATAATGTAATAATGTAATAATACCACTACTCTAATAATTTGCCTACAGAGGGCACCCGGGTGGCTCAGGCGGTTAAATGCCTTTAGCTCAGGTCATGATCTCAGAGTCCTGGGATGGAGTCCTGCATCGGGCTCCCTGGTCAGCGGGGAGTCCTGTTTCTCTGCCCCTCCCCTGGCTTGTGTGCTTTCTCTCTCTCCCTCTTGCTCACTCTCTCCCTCAGTAAATAAATAAAATCTTTTAAAAAAATAATAATAATTTGACTACAGATCCATATCAAAGCATTATTAATGCAAATACAAAATAAACCAGGTTGGGGCGCCTGGGTGACTCAGTCGTTAAGCATCTGCCTTCTGCTCAGGTCATGATCCCAGGATCCTGGGATCGAGCCCTGCATTGGGCTCCCTGCTCAGCAGGAAGCCTGCTTCTCCCTCTCACTCTCCCCCTGCTTGTGTTCCCTCTCTCGCTGTGTCTCTGTCAAATAAATAAAATCTTTAAAAAAAAAAATTAAAAATAATAAACCAGCTTAAGTCATTCTCACCTAAGCAATTATATATGAAGAAAGAAGCTAGAAACCAATGACTTAATTTCAATAATAAATCATCTTATTTGTAAAAAAAAAAAGATAAGCAAATTATTACTTATAATTTTAGTAATAAATTTATAAGTTTACTATCAATTATAGCTATATCTGCTGTTCAACTCGAAGAATCATCGTAAGGGAAGAGAGTAAGTTAAAACCGTCTTGGCAAGCCCAAGTACCATCTAAAATCAAGAAAGGAAAATAATCTAAGAGCCTCAATAGATACATTTCATATCATGATTAAGTAAAAAAAGAAAACCCTGCTTACACCTTTATTATCATTAAGATTCAACATAATAATTCTAGGTAAATTAGTGCAGTTCTCCAGAGATTTCTCACTCATAAAGAACAAAATAAACAGTCCATATTTCAATATGCTACAGCAAATATCACAGGGGAAGCATTCAGTGGATCATTCAGAGCAGCAAAGTTCACAATTTGACTATCCAAATGTTTATTTATTCTGCTCACAGTAAGGGAAAAGAGAAAGGACAGCAAGATGAGATATAACTGACAGACAATAACATGTACTCACTGGTCGAGTTGCCTTGCATCTGAATGATGCACTTGGACTCCTTGCTGGTCTCCCGAGAATTGAAGGGCCGAACCCGCACAGCCACCTTCACTGAGGCTCCCGACATTCTGATGGTCTTGCTATGTATATATGTATATATATGCAGTCCAGAAAGAAAGAATCAAATCTTCTTTTGAAGTTATGTTCAAGTTTCCTTTAAAAAGAAAGCAATCCCACACAGGTAGTCAGAATTAAAGAAAGCATGGGCTACCATGAGCATAAAGGCTGCTCTCTTGCCTCAGGACTTTCCATTTTCCATTTCAAAAAACCTAATCCCTATTCTTCTCATAGATCTTACATTCTCAAAATTTCCAAATAGAAAATTAAAGACTGAAACTTATTTTCCTATTCTTTCTTTCCCATACCTAAAAAGTACCTAAACTTAATAATAAAATAATAACAACAATAATAAATATAACTGCAAAGTAGCAGGCATCTTTCTTGTTCTCTGTTTTTCTGGATCAATCTTCAGTAATATATGAAAAACACCATATGTTTATCTGTTAACTTCCCAACTGCAAAACCCCTTATTACCTTCCTTTAAAGAAATGCTCTGAATTTCCTATACTTCAACTGCAGTTTGAAACATTCAGTTACATGATATATAATTAAACAGCAAAGGACACAGATAAATTTAAGCAGCTCCTTCCACTTCTAAGTACCCAGGGGTTCCTTGAATTTCCACATGTACCTCATGTGACCCTCACAACCATCCTTTACAATGAGCAGAGAAGTTTCCAGAGAAGGTTCTACCCTCAGATGTGCCACTGACTCATGGCAAAATCAAATCACGACATTTCACTACTGAATGAAGCCACAGGAAGAAATGTGAACATTTTTCAGAGGAACAGTTTCCTTCCCAACAACAAAACAAACACTATTTGGTGAAAAGAATCCGTCTACGTAATCTCCACCAGAAACAACAGATCTCAATCTGCACTCTATCCATTATAGAAACGTTTTCAAGAGGAACCAAATGAAAGAAAAAAGTGAAAAAGAAAACCACGTAAGTCCAATTGTCAGGGAACCCCAATAAAACTTCATTTTCTCCCACGTAATGTAATAGAGACCTGCAATCCTACACCACAGCTGCACAACTACTAACGCTTTTCCAGTAAGAAAAGGGCAAAAATCAACCAAAACAAAACAAAGTAAAAACCAAAAGCCACTCCCTACCTCATTACCCTTGTTTTCTTAAGGGCACTATTTAAAATTCTTGTTTTTGGGGACACGCCTCTTGTCCATCTCTCACACCTCCATCCAAATGCTCAGAGTTCTTGTTCGCTACCACTCAGGTGAGAGCCCGATGGAAGGGCTCAGGAAATGTCTGCTGAGGGAGAGAATTAATGCACGCAGCTGACTGCTGAACAATATGGGCTCAAAAAGCACGGGTCCATTTGCACGTGGATTTTTTCGACAAACATATTTTCTCTTTGTTATGATTTTCTTAACATTTTCTTTTCTCGTTTTTGTAAGAAAATGGTATGTAACACATGTATACCATACAAAATCTCTGTTGATCAACTCATTATGTTATCAGTAAGGCTGATACTACGCTAACAGTGGGCTGTTAGCAGTTAAATTTGGAGGAGTCAGGAGTTATATATGGATTTTCCCCTACATGGAAGGAGGGGAAAGGCACCCCTAAGCCCTAAGTTGTTCAAGGCTAACTGTATATTTCCCAGTTTGAGAAGTATCTGTTCAAGTCCTTTGCCTGGTTTGCTGACATTTTTTGGTTTTGTTTCAATAATTGTAATATTTATTGGTATTAATCTTTTTGATATTTGCTGTGATGTTTTTCCAGTCGGTTTCCCATTTTATTTAGCGTTAAACAGATGGTTCTTGTTTAATATATCAAACATTTATTATAATCACATTTATCAAATGAAGCTTGGAGTTATTAACTCTCCCAGTCAATAGAGCGTCACCCATAGTCACTAGCTGAGTACCCTGCCAAGAGTGAACAGTATTCTGAAAAAGCAACACAGAACACACTTCAATCCCCCCGCCGCAGGGCTCACTGTGATATACAGCCACATCCGAACACTTAACACGCTCCATTATCTTCTCCCCCAAACTAACAATCTCTGTCAATCTTCCCATTTCTATCTGACCTCATACCATAAACCTTGCAGTCAGGTGTGGTTTTTTTTCTTCTTTGAATCCTTTTATTAGTATTACATCATTGATACGCAATATCAAAACTTTTAAAACACAAATTTGCATATTTCTATCAATTCTTTCCTCCCATTCCCATCCCCATTAGCATTACCCCAACCCACTGCCACTGCCTAACCTAGTCCTCACTACCTCATGCCTAGCATACTTGTAATAGTGGAACTGATCTTTGAGCTTTTCATTTGAATCCAACAGTCCTTACACAGGGCTGCACAAAACAACCACACAGGGGTCTTGTGAAAACCAAATAAGCCTGGTATTTAACAGTTCTGAAATAGGAATTCTGGTTTTTCATTCCCCGAAGATTATGCTGCAAATCTCTTAACCTTGCTGCAATATTAACCTTTCTAAAGCATGACTTTCAATTTTACTTCCAAACTCAAGAATCTTCTCTTACTCCCCATGATTACAACATTAAGACCAAAGTCAAGGCACTCTGTGTTCTAATCAGGCTCCTTGACCATCCCCCACACATGCTTTTCACATTTTCTAATAATTTCTCCCTACAATGGGCATGGGAATTTTCATTTTTCTCCTATTTGATGGGCCAGCTGTAGTCCTACCTCTTCCTAAAGGACTACCCAAATACTCCAGGAATCACTGATTTCCTACAGCACGTATAGCCCCAAACACACGATGAGAACCCTGCTATTATTTCATGTGGCTACAGTCTATCTTGTACTGTTATAGCTTCCCAAAGTGAAATTCTTATTGCCTTGAAAAATTCTTTGAACTTGGGTTCCTTGAAAAAATGGCTAATTCCAAGGCTGGGCAAGACATTTCAAAATGATCCTGGGACATTTTATTTTGATCACAAGCAAGAAATCTATCAAAGATGAATAGAATCATGGCAAAAGGACCTAAAAGTGCCAACTTAGAGGGCTCCCAAACCTGGAGTAATCAGAGCATAAGAGTAAATACATTCATACAAACCACAGATGGATGGAGAACATCAATTATATAAATTCACAAGTTTATAATACTTTTAAAGAGCCTCATTATTCTGAAAACTGGCAAATGAAAGAGATAAGCATACACCCAGTCTGTATATCCTGAATAAACTATACTCCAGGATAGCCAAATAGCTGGACAGTCAACGAGGGCAAGTTCTTCACGCACGCGCGCGCGCACACACACACACACACACACACACACAGTCTGGCTAATAATTGCAGAAGAGAGAACAACTGGAATGTCACCATCCTCCAGCCCTACTGAGAGAAAAGCTCTCTGCAACAGTCGTCACTAGCTGCTGGGGGGGCGGGGGACGCTTGGATGATGAATGGTTGGTTGATGTGGGAACATTTTATTGCTTGGATTAGGCTGAGAGTAACTGAGCCAAATAATCTTAACGTCACTAAAAGTGGGACACGTAGGTGGTCATGCTTGCACGTGTACTGCTATGGGAAACACACAGCACCACCGAGGAAGCATTCTTATCCTACCATCTTAAAAAAAAAAAAAAAAAAAGAAGAGCCTAAGCTTCTTTTTTAAGCCTAAACTCGGACTACCAGTTACAGGACCCATAGGAGAGCAAATGAAAAATTTAAATGACACTTGAAAGATACAATCAGCCAATCCCAGGATATAGAAAAATCTACTGGTCAATACACCCAGTTTCTTAAAATAAATAGCATGGGGGAGAGGGGGTAAATAAAAGAAACTTGTGTTAGTTACCAACCAAATGCATGATTTTTTTAATCAAGAAACTCCACCAAAAAAAAATTTTTTTTCTTAGGTTTCAGATTAATCTGAACATAGACTGGTAACAGATAATGTCAGGAAATTTGTTAGGGGAAGAGAGAAGAAGTAAGTTTGCCAAAATGACAGTCATTGAATACTGTAGATATTTAAGTTAAAAAAAACAAAACCTTCTGGTGCCTGGGTGGCTCAGATGGTTAAGGACCTGCCTTCGGCTCCGGTCATGATTCCAAAATCCTGGGATGGAGTCCCGTATCAGGCTTCCTGCTCCTTGGGGAGCCTGCATCACACTCTGCCTGCCTCCCTCTCTCTCTCTCTCTCTCTCTCTCTCTGTCTCTCATGAATAAATAAAATCTTTTTTTTTTTAATGACTTAAAACAAAAACAAAAACAAACCGTTCTTCTTTTGTATTCTATTCAAGGCCTGCCAAAGTGTTGAATGCTGCTGACTGATTTACAGACAGACAACAAAGGCTGAAAACGCCCTTGCAGGAATTCAGATACAAAGAATCACGCATTCTTAACTGGGACCCAAAATGCTAACATCTCTAACACCTGCTTGCTTCTTCTATCCATCTAATCTACTGACAAATTAAATAGCTTCTACCTATAAAATTTCTTTCCATTTCTACCCCTGCCATCCCTTTTAGATCTGCAGTATTTCTTACCCAAGACTGTTAACCTCACCACTTTCTCTTGCTTCCTTCCACCCCAACCCTACTGCCCATACTGCCACGTTCATCTGCTCCGTCCATACCATGCAGTACTGACAAACTGGTCTTCCTGAAGCACAGGTCTGTTCATGTCTGTGTCCACTTAAAAATCCTCAAAGTTCATCTACTCTCTCCCAGGCAATGACTGCACTTCCCACACGGGCATTCAATGTGTCCTTTTAACATAAACCACCTATTTTGACAAGCCCACAAAACACTGCCTTCCGTCCACATTCCCTAACAACCACCCACCAGAGGGCTTCCTGAAAGTTTATCATGCTTTTCTGTGTCTTTGCTCCAATGCTCCAGAAGGAACGCTGTGCCCTTCTTCCTCTACCATTCTTCTCAAAATCCAACTTATTCTTCTAAGATCTTCTTGTACGCCACCTGTGTCCATAGCCCTCACAGAATCTCCCTACCTCCCAGACTAAATTCTAATGCTTCTCCAGTTATTACGACTCAACTCACCGACCTTAGTGAGGCCAAGGAAGTTACTTACTTTTCTTATCTCTACTATATATTTTAAGTTCCTTGTAGACAAAAACTTAATTTTAGTCATGTTT